TTTGAGGTTCTAATTTCACCGTTTGTTGATATATGGTCATGATATGGCAGTAATTTCAGTTATTTGTTGTTCCTGAGATCAGGATGAGGAGATATTGATGTGTCTCATATTTTTTAGGCATGCTGACAAAATGAGTTGCTTCTCACATTCTGGGAATAGAAACATGGGCCAAAATTCAACACCAGGGTCAAATTTATAGTGTTCAACAAATACCTTTTTTTTTCAAATTTGACATGTCATATCATTTCGTATTAGACTTATAAATTGTGAAAACTCGGCTCATAAATTTGATGGATATATATATATATATATATATATATTAGAGAGAGAGAGAGAGAGAGAGAGAGAGAGAGAGATATATATAGAGAGAGAGATATATATATATAGAGAGAGAGAGAGAGAGATATATAGATATATAGATAGATAGATAGATATAGATATATATATATATATATATATCATTGGATGAAAAAATCCAAGAAGAATCTCATTTTGCCAGCCTCACATGTGTAGTTGTTGGTGTTGTTGTGATGTGGAGAGTCTAATGCTGTTGTTTCCTGTTGCTGTGGTCCAGGAGTACGTGCGCCATGCGGTGGAGCTGTGCATGAGGATCACAGAGTGCCCTCTCCACCCCAGCCAGAATAGACAGATCACCAAGCAAGCCCTCGTAGACTTTGAACCCTTCTTCCGCCGCGGCCTCTTCGAGACAGCTCGTAACCTGACCTCTTGACTCTTCGAGACAGCTCATAACTTGACCTCTTGATTCTTCGAGACAAGCTCGTAACTTGACCTCTTGACTCTTCGAGACAAGCTTGTAACTTGACCTTTTGACTCTTCGAGACAGCTTGTAACTTGACCTCTTGACTCTTCGAGACAGCTCGTAATTTGACTTCTCGACTCTTCAAGAGGGTTCCTAATTTGACCTCCTGAGACCCCACAAGGGACAGCGCTGCCTTCTTGGTGTGTTGTACAATTGTACATAGTCGTCCGGCATCTCTACACAGGGCCTCCCACATGGTGGCGGTACATTGTGAATATCATCCCATGTCTCTGTATGGGACTGCTTACTGTCAGAATGGTGTGAGTTGTGTGTGTGTGCGGATGTGTGTATGTGTGCCTGTATGCAGATGTTTGTGTACTTGTGTGCAGGTGTGTGTATGTGTGCCTGTATGCAGATGTGTGTGTACTTGTGTGCAGGTATGTGTGTGTGTCTGTATGCAGATGTGTGTGTACTTGTGTGCAGGTGTGTGTGTGTGTCTGTATGCAGATGTGTGTGTACTTGTGTGCAGGTGTGTGTGTGTGTATGTGTGTGTGCGTGTGTGTCTGTATGCAGATGTGTGTGTACTTGTGTGCAGGTGTGTGTGTGTGTGTATGTGTGTGCGTGTGTGTCTGTATGCAGATGTGTGTGTACTTGTGTGTGCAGGTGTGCGTGTATGTGTGTGTGTGTGTCTGTATGCAGATGTGTGTGTACTTGTGTGCAGGTGTGTGTGTGTGTGTGTGTGTGTGTCTGTATGCAGATGTGTGTGTACTTGTGTGTGTGTGTGTATGTGTGTGTGTGTGTCTGTATGCAGATGTATGTGTGTGTGTGTGTACACTGAATGCTTGCCAGCAAGCTGAGAATGTATTTTGAATGTTACAGGGTCTAACATGGCAATAATGATAAATTGTAAAGTGCCGAGAACATACTTCTAGTCCTGAGTAAATGCTAAATAATCTTTTGCTATGATCATTCTGTGTTTATTCTGTCTGTGGAAGATGAAGACTCTTACGTTACAGGTGACAGTTTTAGAAAAGAGAACCTGGTGGTCTGGTCGCTCTAACATCAGAACAACATATCGTTTGAATTATCACACATTATTGTACCTTCATTTGTTACTGTAGAATATCTCAACAAGAGGTGTTTTGTTACGTTTGGGAAAGATATCATCATTTGAGTGTATCTGTTTTGCATAATATTTATGTCAGCTGGTGGACTCCACTCTTGATTACATTATCATGTATACAGTATAGGACCAAGCAGTGGGGAGGTAGTGAGCTTTGTATTGAACATTTCTGTTACCTCGATGGATTTTTTAATTGATGTTTGTCCCAGTAATGATGGCAAAGATACTGCTGTTTGAATGAAAAACTCAATGTGGTTCAAACTGAATTTTTGAAATGTTAGAATTAAGTAAAAATGCCCACATATTTTATCTTAGTTTTATACCAATATCTCTATATTCCCAGAATATTAAACCTGATTGAGATTGGAACATGTGAACAGATGCTATAGCTTAATAGTTTCTTTGTGGGATTTTTCCAGTTTGTGAATGATTTTGTTAGATGTTAGGTTTACAATTCCAACAACAGAATGCATGTTGGAGGAAATATATCACTTGTTCTTCCTGGATGTTGAGCGATGTGTTGTCTATTCCGACACAATGTGCCTTCAGATCTCTTCAACATTCGGGTGTTGTATTACCGGTAACACAAGTGCTGTATGGGGTTGTGTCCCGCACTGACTTTTACAATTACATGATGACCAGTTGTGACAATGAAACCTTTTTCTGCTGATTTTATTTGTAAAAAGGAAATGTAATATGTAGAAGCATGTCATTAACTTCTTGAGACAGCCATTGGTCAAACTGATGGTGAGATAACTGTAAGCACACTGTTTTGTTGTTATTGTTGTTCTGGACCTATTGTCACAAGGACTGTGGTTGTGCAGCCAGTGCCAAGAACAAATTTACTATTTGTATTTTGTGTTAAGATATCCTTAGCTGTGAGCCGCTGTCTCCGCGGCTGTGGCTCTCCATCATTTGAGAATGAGTTATTCTGTTATTTATAGTTATGTGTTGATGCTCCGTCTACAATCCTGTGCCTCTGCTGGTGCCTTGTGGTCTGATTTTGAGTCATGTTTTTGGTCCTTGAAGCCATGTTTAGACTGGTTTGGGGGGGGGGGGCTGTTTCATTCATGCATAACTTCATAATAAGGCTGGTGGGAACATTTTTTTTTCACTTACTTAAAAGCAAAATACTTTCACTTCTTCTGCTTTCTTCCTTTTATGACAAGGTGAGATTTCTTCTCCCACATCCCTAGTCTCGTGTTGATTTGTGCAGCTAGTCTGAAGAACTGGTGCACTCTTTGACAATATGATGGCAAAAACTCTTTGTGTGGTGGGGGGGGGGGGCAACTTCAGCCTTACATTGGTTTAGTCATCACTACGCCTCTGCGGAGAAGCCGTCCAGTCATCTGAGCATGTCTCTTACACCTGTAGAGAATGCCACAAGGTGAGAGAAATTTGGTCAACCGTCGTGTCTCTCCCGGAGAAGTCACACAGGACGTGCTGCGGACAATCGTCGGATTTGTCACTGAAGCTGGCCTCCAAGTGGGAGATGTATTCTTTCTCTTCTACATTGTTTCACAGTTGCCCAAATCAATTTTTGGAGGGTTCCAGATGAAGCAGTTATTCAAATCCAGAAATCATAGAGCATCTTACAATACAGTTTCATTCTGTGTTGTTATTTCTTTCGTAGTTTTGTTTTGAAAAATAAGTAGCACTCAAATAATTATGGTACTGATTTGGATGCTTTCTTTTGCTTTAATTCTCTCAAAACTTAAAAAAGTAGTTTGGGTGCTTGTGGAAAGATGAACTTCATTTTGGCTGGACCATCCTTGGGTTCTATGGGAGATGGACGTCAGATTAGGAGGTCCCACCTCATATATAACCTTACAATGATACAAGGGATGTAGACCAGGATATATAATTTGCACGTTTCTGTTGGACTGTCCTTCTCTAGCGATGTGAAGTTTTTGACTGGGCCTTTACTAGTGTGGAGTATAGCAGTATTGGTCAAGTGTGTATTTTGTTTTGCATAATGGTTACGAGTAAAAGTCAGTGCATATTTCTAGATCACCAACCTTGATGAAATGGTTTCTGGTTCTATGTGCCAAGATTTATTGCCAATGTACCTTGCGACTTTTCTTCTGCTTCTCCTCTTTGTTTGAACACAGCGACTCCATCAACATGAGCTAATTTTCATCTTGTACAGTCTTCAGTAAAATGAGAAGGGTTTTTTTTGTTGTGTGTGTGTTGCATAATTTTCAAAAGGCCAGTTACATGGTTAAAGCTTAAAACCATCAATTTATTTATTTTTGCAAAGCAGTTCTCTTGCCAAACTGTTTTTCCGCCTGAGTTGTGATTTTTTTTTATTTTCAATTTTGTTGATGTTTTTATTTTTTTATGCCAACCAAGGACTTTTTCTCCTTGTTGGAGGACATATGTGAGACGTGCGGACAAAATGAGTTACTTCTCACAATCCGCAAGTGGAGATATTGGGCCAAAAATCGACACTAGGGTCAAATTTGTAGATTTTCGATTGATGTCATATTCTTTGAGTAAAACATGCCTTACATTATTTCATACTTATAAATTGTAAAAACGTCAAGCGTGATGTAGCAATTTCCACAGGGCTCGAATCCGAGAAGTAACTCGTTAAGTCAGCACCCTCCACATATCTATTGAATTTTGCTCACTGCCCACCATTGCCTTTGATTTTTGTTTGTTTCAGATTTTGTTTTTATTTATTTCTTTTGTTTTCTACATCATGCAATGTGCTGTAGTAAAATCCTCTTTTCTTCTTTGGTGCTTTCCAAGACTTGTGTTTGTATGCTTTTGTCCATATCCACCAGCCCAACCCCATTTTCATTTCTGCCCAAAGTTCATTATCACCACCCCCACCCCCTCCCTCGTCCCGCTATTCCCATGTCCCCCATGGGTCCGGCTTCTTATTTCACACCTCACTTTACATCATGCAATGTGCTGTAGTGAAAGCCTCTTTTCCTTCTTTGGTGCTTTCCAAGACTTGTGTTTGTTTGATGACTGAGAGAGAAGATGGACACTCACTCAATGCTGAATGACAGACCACAACTGACCACTCGTGTGTTCACAACAACAGAAATAGGCCTCACGAACCTAAAGCAAAAGCATTTCTATTCATTTTTAAAAATTTTACTTTTGTTTAATTTTTTTTTTTGTTTCTTTTTTTCCTGATGATTGTTTGCAATTATTAAAGAATTAGATAGTATTATATCTCAGATGAAAGAAACTATTCTTGTAAACAATTCTTCTTCACTTTTGAGAATTTCAGAATGTATGTAATTGTCAGGAAAATGTGTGTACTTTGTTACTGTTCATATTCATGATGTAGGAGGTGCAATTGTCAGCTGATGGACTCCTTCTTCTTCATATTTTCCACTTTCCATATTTTCCTCAATGATGAAAGGAACACGGAATTATATTTTTTAGGACAAAATTTAGAATTAATCCATACCTGAGACTGAAAAGAAACAGATGTTTTGAGTATTCTGAATTAGACTTGTTTGATTTCTGCAGTTCGTTGACCACACTTTTCTCTGATGCCAAAACCACATTGTCTACACTGGCCTGATGAACTGGGTGTGTCATGTGAGGTGTGCCTGGCTCTCTGCTCTCTGCTCTCTGGGACGTTTGCCCTGAATTCTTACCTCACTTAGTTTTTGTCTGTTTTGTTTGTGTAATTCCTTCCAAGTGCTCCATCCTCAACTGTGTATCTTTTCGTCTCCAGGGGAATTTACTGTGTCTTTGTATAGAGGAAGGGAGCTGGCCAGGGATCATCATTCTCTTCTGTGTGTCTCTATCTATGTATATATGATGGGGATATTCCCCTTACATTCACAATTCCGTCTGTAGATTTTGTGTATTTTTAGTTTTTGTATGAGTTGTACTCCTATAAAACTTTCTTTTTCGATTATTATTGAAAATGTAGATTACGATCCCTGCATATCCGCTGTGTTTTTGATGCCATTTTTACCAAGCCATGTGTCCGGAGTGGTCTTTTATGGCAGCTGTTTATTATTTTGTCCCACCTCTCAACCCCTGGTGCCTTATATCTTTGAACATTACGATAGAACATTACAGAAGTATTTACTGGCATCTGTTGTGTAATGGTGCAACTCGTCTTTCGCTGTAGTGTGCGACAGATGTGTCTGAGACCACTATCAGATTTTTACATTTTCCAAGTATGGTGTAGGAGGTCTTCCTTTATTTGTGAGGCAACGTGGTGAAATCAGGCGCTCGTTAAAATTACGAAATTGAAGAAATTAGCATTTTCCCCAGTTTGCCAATTTT